AAGTTCGAACTAGGCTTAATCCTCGTGGAATGAGGTTTACCTAGTTCGAACTAAGCGCTCCGTTAGTTCGATTTAAATTCGAACTAACGGAGCGCTAGTGTAGTGCCTATGAAAGTTAGTTAGAACTAACGGACGTTAGTTCGAACTAACTTTGTAGTGTAGACATACCCGAAGGAACCAGCCATCGCCAGCCTCCTGTAGCCGCAACCACGTCTGAGTTCCTTATTCGTGGCTGAGTGAAGCTGGGCCCTGGGGTGTCGGTGGCAGCGCTGAAGGGCCCCTCACTGCCCATCATGGCATCTGCTCTCACCGCCCTCTTCCTTGGTGAGTATCACACAGAGCCAGGGCGTGTGTCTATAGGGGGAAGCTAAGTCCAGGGCATATGTCCCTGGTGGGGGGAGGTCTGAGACTGGGGCGGGGGGCATGCTCGGGGATCTGAGACTTGAGCATATGCCCATGGGGTGGGGAGGAATATGATACGTGTGTTTGGCGGAGGGGGTGGCTCTGAGATCTGTAGAGCCACTTGCTCTGGGATCTGGTCCCTATGAGTGGGGCGCATCTCAGCCTCTGGATATGGGTGACCAGGACTGATAGGATCATCTCTATGGAGCTCTGCGCCTCTCACGCCAACCCACGTCCCTCATCCTTAACATGGAAATTCCCCGGCTGCCCCGTTCCCCACAGATCCTCACGTCACTACATCCTGTTCCGCTCGGCCAGGCAGCAGCCTGGTGAGGAGACAGGCACTTAGGGACCAGATCCCAGAACAACTGGATCCCACAGATCTCAGGTCCACTCCCTCTCCCCTCCCTCCAGGCACGTCTCAGATTCCTCCCACGCCCTGGTCTGAGATCCCCTCATGGGCACACGCCCTGGCTGTCTCCAAAACTCACCGAGGAAGAGGACGGTGAGAGCAGATGCCACGATGGGCTGTGAGGGGCATCTCAGCGCTGCCACCGACACCCTGGTGCCCAGCTCCACTGAGCCACAAATAAGGTGCTTAGTCAGGTGCTGCAGCTGCAGGAAGCCGACAACGTTTCATCTCTTCCTGCATCCACCCGCCTTGTCACTAAGCTGCAGGCGACATCTCATGCATTACACGGTGCAAGAAAAAATCAAGTGAATAGCTACAAAACTGTGAATAGATGGTGAGGTGGTGGATTGATGAAAAGGGGTATAGTAGGCGAGAAATTGTTTTAGAAAACCCGACCCATGGAGGAAGGTTAATAAAATGGGGTATGTTTAGTCTCGAAAAAAGAAGACTGAGAGCAACCTTCAGATATGTTCAGGGCTGTTGTGAAAGGATGGGGATCAATTGTTCTCAGTCTCACTGAAGGTAGGACATGAACTATTGGGGCTGATCTGCAAGAAAAGTGCTTTAGTCGAGATGTTTAGAAAAATGCAAACTGTTAGAATAATTAAACTCTGCATCAGGCTTCCAAGGGAGGTTGTGAAATTCCATCCACTGAAGGATTTAAAAATCAATTTGGAAAAACAACTGTTAGGGATGGTCCAGGTTTACTTGGCTCTGCCTCAGTCCAGGGGGCTGGATATGATGACCTCTCGAGTTCCCTTCCAGCATGAGATTTCTATGAATGCTAAGTCCAGAGGAGAGTGGATCACTTATAGAGCTCGGATGTTACAGAGGAAGGGGCGACTCTCACAGGAAGTGTGGAGTAAAGTGCATCTTCTATGGTGGCGGCTTTTAAACTTTCATATGATCCAGAAATATCTTTGTCATCTCGTGGTGCCTTCAAAAAAAGAAAATAAAACAAATCAAAAAGCCAATTTCTCTACCCAGTTTTTGTCAACCAAAAGTTTATTTTTAATGTAATACCAATGTTTTTTTAGGGACAAACCTGAACAATAACAATAAAAACTAGCTCATTTCAGGTTTACATTGTCATTTCAATTAGATGTATGTTATAGTAATTATTAATTTTAATACTCTGTCTGTCTGTCTGTCTGTAAGTCTGTTTGTTCGAGAACTCCTCCTAAATGCTAAGGGCTAAGAGCACCAAATTTGGTATTTAGCTTCATCTTAATTTAAGGCACGGTAAGAATTTGATTTTGCCAGAAAATGGAATATGCCTGGAATCCCAATTATTTTCCATGACATGGAAAGAGAGGGGCTGAGTGGATAGATGCGAAATTCACATTGACCACTGGGGGCAATGAGTGCAGGCAACAACGATAATGCACAGTGACCTCTGGGTCCAACTGCACCATCAAGGGAGTTGTCAGCTGGGGACGGGACTCACCATCTTGTCTGCCGCTCACCCAAGTAAGTGGCCTTCCTGGCCCAACCCTTCTCCCAGACCATCAGGCACAGTGCCAGGCAGGGAAGGAAAAGCCCCATCAGCCCCACGACCGTGTTCCCTCCCCTCCCAGGAGTACTGTTGCAGTAGCCATACTCTGCCCCAGCCCCGGCAGGCTGCCAAGCATGGCCACAGCCAGCCTGCCAACTCTGCCTCCCCTTCCCTTCTGTGGCTTCCATGGTCCCTTCCCCATAAGCCTGCCCTAGGGAGCACTGTCAGGAAGCCTGCACTGCCTCTCCCTCCTCCCCCATGGCTGGTTCTGGGAACATGGCAGGAGGCCTACACAGCCTCTACACCTGTCCCCAGCTGCTACTCTACAGCAGGGCCTGCCCTCCAACCCTGGGTGAGCCCACCTCCCCACTCTCCTGGCCCCAGGCCAGGCCCTACAAGTGCTAGTACAAGGCCACTGCCTGCCTGTCCTGCCTCAAGGCCAGATCCAGCCAACGCCAGGTAAGTCTTCTGACACATGATATTTGCACACACCATTTTATATGATAATGCTGCACAACTAACACAACAAAAATCTTTTGATGGCCCTGAATTGACGTTAAAAAAAATCCCTGAGAAAAATGTCAGCGTTTCCTTCCACTTTGGAATGAAAACACAGTTTGAAATATTGGCTCACTGCAGCTCAGACTGCAGTTTCCCACCATCTCTAATCAGAGCCTAGATCTCAGGCAGGAAAGCAAACCAACACCGTCGAGTGCATTTCAGAAGGCAGGTCCCCACCACTTTTTCTACAAATGACACTGCTGTCTTGGTAAAGGAATCCCTGGATGTGATTTTCTGGCCTGTGTTGTACAAGTCAGACTAGAAGTTCACAGTGGCCCCTTCTGGCCATGGAAGCTCAGAGTCACTTACCTTTTCCTGGGAAGATCTAGTGGGAGACGCACCTGGAAAACAAGAATTCGATTGTGTTAATGGAGATGGCTTTTAGCAAGGGTGCACAGCTGACAAGAGTCCTGGCATGCTGTGAAAGGCTTAGTTGCTTGAAGGTTGGGTGGACACAAATTGCAGGAGGACGGGATAGTTTATGGTCAGTAATTTGGCCATCTCATGTTATGTTTTCTAGTTGTTCTTTTTTCAGTATGTGAACTCATTTCCTAATTTCTCCCATTGAGAATAACCACTCACAGCCATTGGTTTCTTTCTTCTTTGGAGAAGACAAAGGAATTCTAGCTGGATAAAAGTGTCTTTCTAACTAGGGAAGGTGGGGACAGTTGGAGAGCTGGTCAGACTGATACAGACACTGGCTGGGGATGTCTAAAGAGGCCAGACTTGCCTTGGGTACCATCACACCGGATGGGTCACAGACTTCCTAAGGAAGAACTGCCAGTGCTGAACTGCCTGGGCCTGCTGGGCATGGGTGATGGGTGAATGCCCATATGGGGAAGGCAAGCTGAGCCTGGCCCCTTCTTCCCAAGGCCCTGCCCCTTCTGCAACCTCTTCCCCCATGAAGCCACGCCCAGCCCCCATGGCAGCAGCTGGCCCCCACTTCAGGTTACTGCCCCCAGTCTCTGAACTTCTCAGGGCCCTTTGGCTACCCCATTCAAGGGGGTGGCATTGTCGCTACACTTTAAATTAAGTTCGATGGGGACAGGTGAGCAAAGCCCACCGATAAGTGGAGAACATGGAGACCTGGGAAATGGGTCAGAAATGGGAGGGAGTGTGAATTATAATGGCAGAGAGAAAGGCGGGTCAAGGCAAAACTGAGAGGCAAGATCAAATCAGTATTTTAGATGCCTGTATACAAATGCGAGAAGTATGGGTAATAAGCAGGAAGAACTGGAAGTGCTAATTAATACAACTATGACATTGCTGGCGTCACCAAAACTTGGTGGGATAATACACATGATTGGAATGTTTGTATGGAAGGGTTTAGCTTGCTCAGGAAGGATAGACAGGGAAAAAAGGGAGGAGGTGTTGCCTTATATAATAAAAATGTACACATTTGGAGTGAGGTGGAGATGGACATAGGAGACGGAAGTGTTTAGAGTCTCTGGGTTAGGCTAAAAGGGGTAAAAAAATAGGATGATGTCATGTTAGGAGTCTACTGCAGGCCACCTACCCAGGTGGAAGAGGTGGATGAGGTTTTCTTTAAACAACTAACAAAATCATACAAAGCAGGGCACAGACTATCCAATAAATTCTTGGACTGCATTGCAGAAAACTTTTTATTTCAGAAGGTTGAAAAAGCTACCAGAGGAGAAGCTGTTCTAGATTTGATTTTAACAAATAGGGAGGAACTGGTTGAGAATTTGAAAGTGGAAGGCAGATTGGGTGAAAATGATCATGAAATCATAGAGTTCACAGTTCTAAGGAAGGGTAGAAGGGAGAACAGCAAAATAGAGACAATGGATTTCAGAAAGGTGGATTTTGGTAAGCTCAGAGAGCTGATAAGTAAGGTCCCATGGGAAACAAGACTGAAGGGGAAAACAACTGAGCAGAGTTGGCAGTTTTTCAAAGGGACACGATTAAGGGCCCAAAAGCAAACTATTCCGCTGCGTCGGAAAGATAGAAAATATGGCAAAAGACTGCCTTAGTTTAACCACGAGATCTTGCACAATCTAAAAATAAAAAAGGAGTCATATAAAAAATGGAAACTACGACAAATCACAAAGGATGAATATAGGCAAACAACACAGGAACGCAGGAACAAGATTAGAAAGGCAACGGCACAAAATGAGCTCAAACTAGCTACAGGAATAAAGGGAAACAAGAAGACTTTTTATAAATATATTAGAAGCAAGAGGAAGACCAAGAATAGGGTAGGCCCACTGCTCAGTGAGGAGGGAGAAACGGTAAAAGGAAATTTGGAAATGGCAGAGATGCTTAATGACTTCTTTGTTTCGGTCTTCATTGAGAAGTCTGAAGGAATAACTGACATAGTGAATGGTAGTGGGAAGGAGATAGGCTTAGAAGATAAAATAAAAACAGAACAAGTTAAAAATCACCTAGAAAAGTTAGATGTCTGCAAGTCGCCAGGGCCTGATGAAATGCACCGTAGAATTCTCAAGGAGCTAATAGAGGAGATATCTGAGCCTCTAGCTATTATCTTTGGAAAGTCAAGGGAGACAGGAGAGGTTCCAGAAGACTCAAAAAGGGCAAATATAGTGTCCATTTATAAAAAGGGAAATAAGAACAACCCAGGAAATTACTGACCAATTAGTTTAGCTTCTTTGCCAGGGAAGATAATGGAGCAAGTAATTAAGGAAATCATCTGCAAACACTTGGTAAGCTGTAAGGTGATAGGGAATAGCCAGCCTGGATTTGTAAAGAACAAATCATGTCAAACCAATCTGATAGCTTTCTTTGATAAGATAACAAGTCTTGTGGATAAGGGAGAAGTGGTGGATGTGGTATACCTAGACTTTAGTAAGGCATTTGATATAGTCTCGCAGGATACTCTTATCAATAAACAAAGCAAATACAACTTGGCTGTGTCTACATTGGCACCCTTTTCCGTAAAAGGGATGCTAATGAGACACTTCGGATTTGCAAATGCTGCGGGGATTTAAATATCCCCCGAGGCATTTGCATGAACATGGCTGCCGCTTTTTTCTGGCTCGGGGTTTTGCTGGAGAAAAGCGCCAGTCTAGACGGGATCTTGCGGAAAATAAACCCTTATTTTCTTGCGGAAAATAAACCCTACTTTCAAGTAGGAATAAGGGGTCTTCCGGAAAAGGGTTTATTTTCTGCAAGATCCTGTCTAGACTGGCACTTTTCTCCGGCAAAACCCCAAGCTGGAAAAAAGCGGCAGCCATGTTCATGCAAATGCCGCGGGGGATATTTAAATCCCCCGCGGCATTTACAATTCCGAAGTGTCTCAATAGCATCCCTTTTACGGAAAAGGGTGCCAATGTAGACACAGCCCTTAGGTGGGGCTACTATAAGGTGGGTGCATAACAATCAGTTTCACACATACAGAATGAGAAGCGACTGTCTAGAAAGGAGTACGGCAGAAAGGGATCTAAGGTTTATAGTGGACCATGAGCTAAATGAGTCAACAGTGTGATGCTGTTGCAAAAAAAGTAAACATGATTCTGGGATGCATTAAAAGGTGTGTTGTGAGCAACACACAAGAACTCATTCTTTTGCTCTACTCTACACTGGTTAGGCCTCAGTTGGAGTATTGTGTCCAGTTGTGGGCATCACATTTCAAGAAGGATGTGGAGAAATTGGAGAGAGTCCAGAGAAGAGCAACAAGAATGATTAAAGGTCTAGAGAACATGACCTATGAAGGAAGGCTGAAAGAATTGTGTTTGTTTTTTTGGGTCTCCTCACCTCAAAAAAGATATTTTGGCCTTGGAAAGTGTTCAGAAAAGGGCAAATAAAATGATTAGGGGTTTGGAATGGGTCCCATATGAGGAGAGGTTAAAGCGACTGGGACTTTTCAGTTTAAAAAAGAGGAGACTGAGGGGGGATATGATAGAGGTATATAAAATCATGAGTGGTGTGGAGAGGGCAGATAAAGAAAAGTTATTTATTAGTTCCCATAATAGAAGAACTAGAGGTCACCAAATGAAATTAATGGGTAGCAGGTTTAAAACTAATAAAAGAAAGTTCTTCTTCACATACTGTGTAGTCAACCTGTGGAACTCCTTGCCAGAGGAGGCTGTGAAGGCTAGAATTATAACAGAGTTTAAAGCGAAGCTAGATAATTTCATGGAGGTTAGGTCTATAAAAGGCTATTAGCCAGGGGATAGAATTAGTGTCCCTGGCCTCTGTTTGTCAGAGTCTGGAGAGGGATGGCAGGAGACAAATTGCTCGATCATTGTCTTCAGTCTACCCTCTCTGAGGCACCTGGTGCTGACCACTGTTGGCAGACAGGATACTAGGCTAGATGGACCTTTGGTCTGACCCAGTACGGCCATTCTTATGTTCTTATGTTTAGTTTAGAAAAGAGAAGACTGAGAGAGGACATGATAGCAGTTTTCAGGTATCTAAAAGGGCGTCATAAGGAGGAGGGAGAAAACTTGTTCATCTTGACCTCTGAGGATAGAACAAGAAGCAATGGGCTTAAACTGTAGCAAGGGAGATTTAGGTTGGACATCAGGAAAAAGTTCCTAACTGTCAGGGTGGTTAAACACTGGAATAAATTGCCTAGGGAGGTTGTGGAATCTCCATCTCTGGAGATATTTAAGAGTAGGCTAAATAAATGTCTATCAGGGATGGTCGAGACAGTACTTGGCCCTGCCATGATGGCAGGGGACTGGACTCGATAACCTCTCGAGGTCCCTTCCAGTCCTAGTATTCTATGATTCTATGATTTCCAGCTGGCCATAGTGCCTGACAGCGAGAGACCTCAGTAGCTGCACCTTAGCATGATCCTTCTTGGCCTCTAGGGAGGGTGGGTCACTGCACCTGAGCCCCAGCCTGCCCTGTCAGCTAGAGGACCAGGCTGCCACAACATGACTTCAGCCCCTCTGGTTAACCAGAAGACTGCACAGCCACGTAGCTGGTTAAACCATGGGCAATTTGGGGAAGGCAATACCTTTCTTTGCCTGTGTTACCCGCCACCCATGCTGCTGCATTTGACCAATGGATACATAGGATGCTTTGAGAAAGTCAACTGAATGGTGAAAGCTTCAGAGAAAAGACACAGAGGTGCACTAGCTCTATCGCTATGTTGACACCCCCATTATTAGCTTTCAGCATGGCATTACATTAATTATCATCATTTACATTCTATAGTGTTGCTTCCTATTGGTCAGCTGAGCATTGTCCTACCAGGATTTTAGTCCTGTAGGGAGTGTAGGCCTTTCAGTAATTTTATGAGTGTTTGTCTCCATCTGTCTGGGCTGCAGTGGGCAGTGATGAATGCAACTCTTACCTTTCCTGGCCAAAAGGGAACTCACCACCACTAGGACCAGGAGAGAAGGAATGGTGATTCCTAGTATTAAATGACAGGAGATTTCTAGGAAAGAAAAGTTACAATGTCAATGTAAAGGAGATATGAGGGGGAAATTCAGAAATTGCCAGAGAACAAGAGGGAGAAATGGCATGTGATAATGTATGAATTTCTGTCACTGATATAAGCAGGAGCTGAAGGAATGCTTCCCTCACAGTTAGTTGGAAGGGGACAGAAACCCTGGGGGTGTCTATGGCACTATAGTTTGTTCCTGCTTTCCTTAGATTTGTAAGTTGTTCAGCAGACAGAGTAGTATATTGATCTCTGTAATCAACTTAACTTGAGGTGTTTATAGCTGTGCTAAATGCATTAATAAACTATATTTGTAAATATACAAGAGTTCTTATAGTATGAGTGTTGCAACTGTGCACATCAAGGTTCCCAAACATAGAATAATTGAATATTGGGACTGATCCTGGGAGAAAGGACCTTTCAACCTTAAGCCCTGGTCTATACTAGGGCTATGTCTATACTATGAGTTTTGCCACAAGAGCCTATGCAAATGAAGTGTGGATTAGCATTTTCTCATGCTTCATTTGCATACTCTCTTCTGATCCATTTCTACGCTAGGGGTTTTTGCACAAAAACAAGCAGTGTGGATGTTTCCTTTTTGTGTAAAACCCCCTTTTTGTGCAAGATCCTTATGCCTCAAAAAAGGAGGTTTTCTGATCTTGTACAAAAAGGGGTTTTTGGACAAAAAGGAAATATCCACACTGCTTGTTTTTGCTGATCTAGCTGACTGCTAGAAACAATGTGATTCCCATTGAACAATGGCTCTCCCAACACAGAAACTTCCAAGCTACAAAGGAAAGTTCAGAATAGCTGCTATGAGCATAGTCATTCTTCAGGTTATTTCTGAGGACACTGACCAAGCAATGCTACAGAAATATCATATAGACACCAGAATGAGAGAAATTCATACCTGGGCCAGCAAAAGGTCTGTGCATTTAAGCTCACAAGTCTTGGTATTGGAAATCTGCGTAGATGTAAATTTCAATTCCCTTCCTTAATTTTAACACTTTCTCCAGTTCTTTCACAAGCTGGTAGATTGAAGTTGGCGGTTCTAGATTCAGGATCTGTTTGACCCCATCCCAGGCTAGGATTACCCATATCTTGCAAAAACAGCTTTATATGTTGTATGTAAACCATCTAAGATTGATTTACCATTGGAAAGTGGCTGAACTCCAGATACATTTCTGTTGGAAGTAGGCGTTGCATCTGTGGAATGGATGCGGAATAGGTGAGGCATAAATTACTGCATTCATCTGGAAGCTTCACATAAATCTTCTTTAAAACTACAGTAAGGCTTACAATGAAATGGTCATTGCTCGTGACTGATATAATGAAAGGAATAAAACCTCCTGTTTGGTAAGTTTAGACGGAGAATTTAAGTGATTTCCATCGTAGCTATTGGAAAAATACTTTTCCCTTTCATGGGATATTATGACAATTCAAAAGCTACATTTGTTCTACATTGGAATAAAGAATCTAAATATCAAATGTGTCCATGAAACCCAACATTGAGAAGTCTCACATTGGGGAAGTCAAAGTGAAAACACGAGGAGTCCTGTGGCACCCTGAAGACTGACCGATTTTAGATTAAGGTGCCATAGCATCCACATCATTGTGGTGGGTACAGACTAACAAGGTGATTCCTCCAAGGCTTCAGCAGCACAGAATGAAATGCCTTGATTACAAATTTCCATTTCAGTTCTACTGAGCAGCACCAACAAAGATCACCCTGAGCCAACAATTTTGTACGGAAAAATTCAGTTAAGGCAAAACCAATTTCAAATGCACTTGTTTTCTGCCAGGCTTTGAATTGCCATGCTCAGATGGGACATGCACAAAGGTGACACACATTCCTGAATGCTCTGGGGACAGCATTCCCATACAAACCAGTGCCCTGAAAAAGGAGAATCTCCCTTACACCATTTGTCACCTACAGCCCATAAACAACAGGGCTACGTCTACACTGGCATGATTTTCTGGAAATGCTTTTAACAGGGTTACCTCTAATATTGGAGAATGTTTGTATAATTAGGACAAGTTAAGTGTCTTACCTGTCACATCCAGGTTCTGGGAGTCACTTAGAAGTGAATTCTTTTCCTGATTCTGATCATCCTTGTGCTGATACAGACAGGTAAATCTCCCTGTGTTGTTCACACTCACTCGATAGCTGTAGGCAAATTTGGTTTCCTGCATTGGCCAGCTTCCAAGATCCTTCCCATCTTTGCAGAAAATAACACGTGAAAAAGGAGAGAGGGCAGGTACTTTGCACTTCAGGACCAAGCTGACTCCTTCCTCAGAGGATGTCTTGTCTAGAAGTAGCTGAGGAGCAGAGAGGTTACCTGAGTAATAAAAACATTAGGCTAAAGACAATGGGTCTATTTCCCTAACGATGCAACCTGCCAGCGCTCCAAGGACATTAGCAGAGATTCTGGCCAGTATATGAGGCAGCCTGTTTGTTTTGAGGGCCTGTATAAAATCTTGGTGGGAACATTGGCCCAAAGAGCCCATAGAGGGAAGGGGACACATGGCCAGTCGAGTACCTATGAAGGTAGGAGACTGGATTGGGGGGTCACTGAGAAATCAGTGCTAGAGGTAGTGGGTGGGTAGTGCTGACCCTACAAGCTTGCCAGGGGCTGAGGTAGTTACCCTACCAGAACCCTGCCCCGCTGATTTTTCTATTGTCTGTAGAAGTAGGGTTCTCCTCAGACAGGGGCCAGTCAATAGCCTGTTGAAATGAGTGGAACGACTCCCACTGATTCCAATGGGTTCTGGATCTCTTGGGATCCACAGGAAAGAAGATGGCATAATAGCCTGTTTGCCACAGTTCCTTTCCTCTACTCATGGCTCCATGACAGCCAACCTCCTAAAATTCCTAAAATTCTCCCCTCTTTGGCATGCATCTCCCTAATTAAATAGGGCAGCCTCCCCTCCTTACCTGCTGCGGTCTTGGTCTAAACTGCTCTATTTTAAGCTTCCTGCTTCCCCAGCTCCTATGTTAGGACTTTTTCAAAAAAAATTTCAACAGAGGCAACTCTCGGACTAAATATTTGTAAAGACAAAGTTCAGGTGAAGGGTAGACACTGGTAGCACGCAGGTAAAAATCTATGTCAACATTTATCATTATTAAAAGAAGAGACATTATAGAGACAGGATGTTCAAAGTGGAGGACAGATTGATAAAACATTCGGAAAGTATATGAAAGTATTAAAAAATGATATGTAAGATGCTTAAACAACCTGAAATCTGCCCCCCCTGTAGCAAAAGAGTTACTTATCCATCTGTAACAAACAGCTCCAAATTATCAATGCTCACTTGTGCTAGGGGGTTCCTTAATTTTAATAGTGCAATGGTTGCTCCAATTCCTAAAATCAGAGAGAGCCCTGAGCTACAAATTTTTGATTAGACTGACAGAGGACTGCAAGCTGTTGTTCCCTACTTCTTACAGGCCAGATTCTTGCTCCCCAAACAGCATGGACCTATCCTTCCATCACAAGTAATTTTTGACACAGATACCAGCTAAAACAACAAGAAGTCCTGTGGCACCTTATAGACTAACAGATCAATTGGAGTATAAGCTTTCCTGGGCAAAGACCCAGTTCGTCAGACACAACAGCAACAGCTGCCCTATGATTGCAATAATTGCGTTTTCTTCCAGCTTTGTAGATGTACCCGTGCGATTTGGTAAATAAATCATTCACCCGTATAGAGAATTGTATCATTTGATATTCTTTAACCCAATCCACATAACCCTACACATCTCTTCACAGTTTCTGTCCCTGGGATTAGCTGCTAGTCATTCTGAAATTGCAGGTTTTTTGTAACGTGCCATCGAATTTCTGCTCTAGATATATAGCACAAAGACTCACCTGGGGAGCTGCAGATTTCTTGGTTTGTGAAATGGACACCTTTAAAATAAACACACAGTAGCTGTTTTAGGTGAAGGCAGAAATTCAGATTTTATTCTCTATTGCTGCTGGATAATCCAGAGTCCCCAGTGACTGGAATGGGGTTGGGACAGATCTCTGTTCCCTGGAGATAATATCTTTATCTGCACATTATTTTCTTTTATGAATAATATAGGAAAGGCAATACAGTTTTTGACTGGTGCTTCATGGTCCTTCAGGACTGGCCGGCCATGTCTAAGGGGTTCATGAAAGACTGTCATTACCATATGATGATGACTTTCAGCCTGTGGTTCTTGTAATGCTGAGGGTCCAGGAACTATGTGTAAGATTTCCAAAGGGTTTTGCATCTCCCTTAGAAATATTTTAGAGGTTCACAGTGAAAACAATTTGAGAAGCACAGCAGTGTAGAAATGGTGGTGTGGTTGGGCTCAATGCTACCTTGAAGTTTCACTTAAAAAAGAAAAAAAAATCAAGGGTATATTCTGCTCCTTAACATTCTTGTTTACATGATAAATGATGTTACATCACATATTCCTAGGTAAATAATGAGACATAATTATGTTATGGGGGGGGGGGGGGAATGCATTTTCAAAACATTAAAAGACTTTTACTCTTGAATTTATAGCTTATTAATCTTCAAAAATAAGTTCCATTCCATAATAGTTGATCCTAAACAGAGATATCTTTATTAAACAAGTGATATTTCCTTAGGTTTTGATTCTGCTCTAAAGTTACACAGATCAAATCAAAAATAACTCTGTTGAGGTAAGAGGAGTTACTCTGAATTTACAATGGTATCATTAAAAACAGAATTTTAACTGTATGAGTGTGAATCTCAGTGTGTGTATAAAATTAAGACTGAGATTTTAAATGGCCCCTAAAGGATCTGGACTCCCAGTTCCTGTTAAGGTGAATGAGAATTGTGTGTTGAAATCCTCTAGGTGATTTGGCAAACCTTGCCCTTCATTTCTGTATTAGACCCATCATTAAAATGTTCCCATTTAAAGAAAAGGACAAAGCTCAGATAGTTTGTGCTCAATCTCAATTACACATAAAAGGTGCAATATTCATAAACTACTCACAGCAAAGCCAGAGAAGCAGCAGTGGGCTCATCGGGAGATTTGGTAAGAACTGCAAATTTTAGCTGTGGGTGTCAGTTGAGAGAGTCGCCAGTCAGGAGACAAGCCCAGGGTCTCTGTTCTGGGATTCGTTGAAGACACAGCCCCTTTGAGAGGAGTTGCTTCTGGTACAGGAGAAACGGCTTCACTCAATTCTGCGTCCTCTTTTGCTCCTCAGGGCTGGGACAGCAAGCAGGTCGGTTTGTTATCTCATGTGAACTGTGTTGCCGCTGTCTGTATAGAAGGAGGGTTCACTTCATTCTGCCCCACAGCATCCCTCAGCCCCGACTTCCTGTTTGATAGCTGAAAAACCAAGGAGTTACCCTTGATCTGGACCACAGACAATGACAATGGATCATGGGGTGTCAGTCCCATGTTCTGAATGGCCAAATAAACAGGAAAAGAGGCATTTCAGCCAAATTTCACATTTAACAGCCCTTCCTTTCCTGTGGGCGTGCAGGGGGTGTTTTAAAGTCACTTCAGCTATAAATTAAGTTGTGCTTGAAGAAATCAGCCTAAATTCTCTCTTATACCATTGTAAATAAAAGTAGTTCTACTAAAACATCACAGAAGACTAATTAGTATGAAAAGCAGAGTGTTAGGGCTGGAGAGTTCGGTAGGATATTCAGGATTTACACTTGCATGTGAGAGAGTAGAATTTGCCATAGAATGTTCATCCGTGGTCTAGCACAATGTTTCTCCACTGGATGGTGTGTTTGTGTCAGACGTGGAATGTTTGTGATGCCTCCATTTCACCTGTAAAGCTATTGATCATAGATCGATGTGCTTATTGATGAATTAATGAACTTGTTGACTGACACATAATAACTGAAGCCTGGTCTATACTAGACCAGGAAGGTGGGTTTAAGGTATGCGACCCCAGCTATCCAAAATGCATAGCTGGAGTTAGCTTACCTTAAGATGAGCCTCAGCAGCATCCACATAGAGGAAAGCTGATAGTAGCAAATGCTCCCATTGGCTTCCTTTATTCCTTGTAAAAGGAGTAGTACCAGACACTGGCAGGGGCTGCCATCCCTGTTCAATTTATGGGTCTATACTAGATTCGCTCAGTCAAATGCCAGAAGATTGACCTTCAGAGTGTCGATCCACAGGTAAGTATAGATGTGCCCTGAACTTTTCTGATCTCAGAGATATCTCTAAGGTATAAATATTCTTTTGGAGAACCTAGTGATAGATTCAGTAAGTTAGTTCTCCGTGCTTTCAGTATTAGGGGCTCTCCTGGTTAAATCATTGGCTATAATAGTTTTCCAATTGACAAATCTAGTTTCTGAGACTTCATCTCATCAAATTCATACCGTTGAATTCCACTCACGTTTATATAATTAGTGTCATGGGTAATTTTATTTGCATATAAAAATCAACATTTTTCATTTTGGGAAAATCTGAATCAACATTTTTTTGAATTTTCCATTCTTTGAAAAATATTGATATGCCGGCACTTTGGCCTGATGTGGGATAGAAAGGAATGTCAAAAAATGGCATTTCCCATTCAAGATAAATTTATTTTTCCAACCAGTTGCTGGGTAAGAAAAGACATTTAGATGCTTTGAAAATTTTGTCCAATCTAACACCTAAGACTAAATGAAAATGATGTATCCCAAAAATCAACCTTCCGGATGAGAATCTCTACCACATTAGCTACCTAATTTATTGATGCTAGTGAGGAGCACTGTATTTCGTCACTTCCAGGCCTTTGTCTCAGAGTACGTGATCAGCTTCAAAAAATTTGCTTAGAGCCTGTGAAAATTAGGATACTTCACAAGGAGCAAGGGGAGGAGGTGAACTTAAAAAAAAAACCTGGACTCCCCTGCTTCTCCTCTGAATCACACAGAGACACCAGTTTCAAATGGGCAGCTGCTGCACAGGATTCAAAGGGGCAGGAGATCCTCCATGGCTTTGAAATGCACAAGAGCCTGCCCCCCCAACTCTTGTGCATTTCAAAGTAGGCACCCACATGCAGCCCGGAGTCAGTGGGACTTCCCGCTGGCTGTATGTGGAAGTGCCTATTGACTAATCGACTAGCCAATTAACCGCATTTTAACATCCTTAGTGTGCTAATGATCAGTACTGTCATTTCAAGTCCCTTTCACAGCACAAAGGGCTCCTCCCAAGACAAATGTTCACATACAACCAATTTCAAGTGCCCTTCCATTGTCCAGCCAGGAACAGAGAAATGGTGGACCATGTGAATTCATGGGAAAACACTGAAACAACTTGAAATAGAAGAAATCCCCCCCAGTCATAGAATCATAGAATGCTAGAACTGGAAGGGAACTGAAGAGATCATCAAGTCTAGTCCCCAGCCCTTACCGCAGGAACAAGCACCATCTAGATCAGTGTTTCTGAAAGTGTTCCATGGAATCACTTTCAGAAACACTTTAACTGGCTGCCCTGATTTGTTTACCAGCGTTGCGGCCATCGAGCCTCGCGTCTCCCACTGGCTCCATTTTGCTCTTTGCAGCTAAGGGGAGCCGTGGGAAGTGGCATGGGCCGGGCCACTACTTCCTGCTGCTCCCCTTGGCTGCAAAGAGTGAAATGGAGCCAATGGGAGCCCTGAGGCTCTGTGGTGGCAGTTCTGGTAAATAACAAACCAGGGCAGCCAATTAAAGTGTTTCTGAAAGTGATTCTGTGGAGGACTTTCAGAAATACTGATCTAGACCATCCCTGATGGATGTCTATCCAGCCTACTCTTAAATATCTCTAGGGATGGAGATTCCACAATCTCCCTAAGCAATTTAGTCCAGTGTTTAACCACCCGGACAATTAGGAAACGTTTCCTAATGTCCAACCTAAACCTCCCTTGCTGCAGTTTAAGCCCAGTTCTTCTTGTCCTATCCGCAGAGGCCAGGGAGAACAATTTTTCTCTCTTCTCCTTGTGACCCCTTTTAGATACCTGAAAACTGCTATCATGTCCCTTCTGTCTTCTCTTTTCTAAACTAAACAAGCCCAGTTCTTTCAGACTTCCCCTCAGAGCTCATGTTTTCTAGACCTTTAATCATTTTCATTGTGCTTCTCTGGACCTTCTGCAATTTCTCCACATCTTTTTTGAGATATGCTGCCCAGAACTGGACACAATACTGCAATTGAGGCCTCTTTTACATAACTAAGGGTACGTCTAGACTACCGCGTTTTGTCGACGGAAGTTTTGTCGACAGATACTGTCGACAAAACTTCCGTCGACAAAGAGCGTCCAGACACATTGAGTTCTGTCGACAAAGCAAGCTGCTTTGTCGACAGAACCCCGTAGTCTGGACGCAACCCTACAGGCAATAACACCTTCTGTCGACAGAACTCTGTCGACAGAAGGTGTTTTGCCTCGTAAAATGAGGTTTACCAGTGTCGACAAAACTGCTGAGTTCTGTCGACGTTATGTCGACAGAACTCAGCGGTAGTGTAGACGCTGGTATAGTTTTGTCGACAAAAGTCCACTTTTGTCGACAAAACTCGGTAGTCTAGACACACCCTAAGAGAGAAGAGAATTTGCCTCACCATGAATCTCCGCAATCTGAAGACAGGTCCACAGTACTGCTTAAGTTGATCTAATTTGTGTCACTCAGAGGTGAGAAAAATCCTGTCCTCCCCCCACGCATGTTTCACACTGTCCATGCTAGTGCAGTATGGTAGGAGATGCTCTCCCGCTAACATAGTTGCCGCTTTTCACCATCGGCAAAACGTGTTTTCACCAGACGTGCTACAGCAATGTAGATTTGTCTTTAAAGGAAAAAAAAACAGCTTACAAGAGGAAAAACCATAGCAGAGAAGAGATTTGAAGGGAAGGAGATATAAAAACTGAGGGCTAGCATCTGTCTTGGGGTGCTGCCTATAAAAATCTGGGTTTCCTCTGTGACGGGGATACACTGGAAAACTTCAGAGGCAGCAGAAACACTGCAGAGCTTTTTTGGAAACCCCAATATGCCGAATTGATGGACTCCAACCAATGTGGCAAATTGATGTGGTATATATCCCCTCAGCGAGGGACCGTTCAAGTGGGGATGAAGTCCAATGATCTCACCCCCTGTGAATGTGTTCATAACCAATGTTGGAACATCGTGTTTACAACGCCCAATTCTGCTCGCCTAGCCACAAGCAATAAGCAACAGAAGATCCTTGGTCGAGTTCTTTCCTCACTGACTCCTCTTATTTGAGAACTTTGCCTCCTTTGTGCAGTTTTGCTTCTTTCAGTACACACAGTCTTTTTCTCAAGGTGATAAACAAGTCCATAATCCACTGGGACACTGACTTAGACCCTAGCATGGCCTCTCTTCCACTCACTTACTGTTAATTCACTCATGCCAACCATTTACACTACCCATGATTCGTGACACTACGCAACTTGCATAGTTCAAATTGCGTATTTTATTTCGAGCAATGGTGCAGTGTAGACGTAGCCTGTGAGTGTGTGCTAGTTGGGTTTCTTTTACAATAATATCAAACCATGAGCTGCCCATTGGCTGTCAGAGTAGGAATGTAACCAGTTAACTGGTTGGCTGGTAAGCATCACCTTTACAGAATGATGGTTACCGGTAACTGGTTAAACAGCGGCCTGACTGGGCTTCAACATCCCCAACCCAATGCAAGCTGGGCCCACTGTATTGCACTGTGAGCTTGGGGTATTCTAGCCCAGCCATAGTACCTCACCACTTGCAATGGGCCCAGCTGGGCTGGAATAGACCCCTTCCCATGGAACACTCCAGTCCAGCCAGGCCCACTATACCTGTGGGATCCTGATTAAATAGCTAACCAGTAATGTTTAACCCGTTAACTGATTAAATGGGATTTTGCATTCCTCCTTGAGGGCATGGTGTCACTCTTGTAGTGTCTAGGACAGATATTTTCAGACTTGGGTATCTAAAGTTAGCACCCAGTGTTCCTGTTCAGGCACCTAAATAAATGGTGATAAAGAGATTGTGGTAACTTAGCAAGTGGACATGGGGTTTTGGCACCTCTGACCTATGCTCCTAACAAATCAGCCTGAACCTTGCAGCTCAT